AACAATCAGGACACGCTCGCCGGCGAAAAAGGTTCGAAAGTGGGGAAATCGAAACGGAGCGAACCGGAGGAACAACGATGTGCACGTGTATGAGTGATTATTTTGAACTCATCTTTTGGGGTGGCCGAAGGTCCTTGGGTGGCAGGAAGGTTTAATGCACACTTTCATGTGCTTTGGGAACAGCTGTGGGGTTTCTTGCGGCCGGGAGGGAAACAGTTCCTTATGATTCCAAAGTGTTTTTAATTGTAACAGCTTTCGCGGGGATTTTTCCAAGGAAACGTTCAACCGAATAAATTCTGGGATTACAGGAGAAATTCATTTAGCGGCCGAGGATCTTATTGTATTTGAAAGTTGGCTTCATAAGCAATCCACCCTTAAGAGAAAATGTGAAATTGTAAGAAGAAATTGGTAAATAACTGCAAGTTAAGGCAGTTTTATTTATTATAAAGTGATGGTAATTGAAATTTAAAACTTTAGTTTTGCCATTAGTTAAGCTGAATTTAAAATACAAATATTTATATTAAAATATAAACAATCAGTCAATTTACACAGTTTGCTTTCTTTAATTATGATTTGCCAATTTACCAGTTTCAATTATTTATAATAATATCAACAGGTGAAGATTGGGGCCATCAGAGTCATCTACTTTATTAATAATAAATTGTGCAAATATTTCTCCCCACAAAATAAGATCAATATTGTGTGGTTGTGTTTACCGAGTTGTTAGCTTAAATTGTCCTTTTGTTAAGAATATAATGAAAGCCGTTTGCTTGTATAAAATGACTTTGGCCGCATTACAAAGATTAATTTCCGTCTGCCGCAAACTTGGCTGAACTTAAATGGATCTCGGCCTGAACTCTCGGGCCCATCGAAAGCGAAATGATTCGTTGACCAACTTAAAGCTCGTAATGACAGACAATTTATTTATTTTTTTGTGGGTCCCGGTCTGCAAATTGGACCAGTGCCTCGCCCCCCAAAATAAACTTAGCCTGGGCGGGCCAGCCGTGATGATGACAATCACTGAATGTTATTGACGACGACCAACCGACCGCCCCGTCTGCCAAAAAAGTTGAAATCAATGTTGATGATCTCTAGGCCAGCTAAAAGTCGAAACTTTCTCATTGTTATCTATGCGATTTCACCAAGGAGTGGTGTAGGGGTCCTGGCTGCCCTCAGAAGTGTCGATGAAATGGAAAATATAAACAAAATCATTTGTCAAAACATTTCGAAACGGCTCTGCAAACTCTGGACAGCGGTCTGAAAAGCGATGCACGGAGCCTTCGATTCGCACAAAAGGCGGCGTGTGAGGACGGAAGCGGAATTGGAAGCGGAAGCACGAGTGCCAGTGCGAGTGCGAGTTTTCGCAGAGTCCTTGGGGGGTCCTGCCTATACAATCGAGCTTACATGGCAACAAAAATAAGGGAATTTCAGCGCTCGAAACTTTCATTACAAATGAAGGGTAAAATAGGAGTTAATTGTTCAAGTTAACAACAATTAAAACATATTCAAGGTGTAGGAAGGCACGTTCTTGTCTTTTCGGTGGTCACAAAACGAAGTGTTCTTTATTCATTCTTCCATTCTATGCTTAGCCTATTACATGTATGTATTGGTGTGTCAGTTGACGATCGTGCGAAAGGGACATACAGAGTAGTGTTCCTAAGCACGATCTTCATGTGAGAGCGAGATGTATCTATTGTGCTTATAACTATCGTATAATCCAGCCGTGTATGTACAATAGGTGTGTAAGTGTATAGGGTAGTGTGACTGTTTGCTACATCGGTTAGTGTGGCTGCTTGCTACAATCGGTTAGTGTGGCTGCTTGCTACAATCGGCCATCCTGACCGGAGAGCTCCTGATCTCTTAACGTTAACTTTGACTTTTGCTTATCCACGGGCGCATATTTGCTACAGCCCAAACTCCTTTATAAGGAAGTCTGGACTGTTGGAAACCTTCAACATCCTCCACGACGTATCTATCATTCCGCAAAACTTTCGTTATTCTATACGGACCTTTGAACTTAGGAATTAGTTTTTTAGAAACGCCTACATGCGAGTCGAAATTCTTTATCATCACCAAATCTTCTTTTTCATATTTACAGGGGTCTTTTCTTTTCGAGTCTGTTCGTAATTTATTGTATTCTTGCAACTTCTCGATGTTTTCACTAGCTTTATCTCTAATTTTATTCAGATTTATATCTTCGCTATTTTTATTTATTTCTTCTAACCTTTCTTTCAAACTATCTATAACTCTGCCTTTTTGAGATACTCCGAACAAAACTTTACTTGGGTGCTGATTAATTGATCTTTGCATTGTATTGTTTAAAGCGTATTCAACTGTTTCTAAAACTGTGTCCCAGTACAATCCTTTGTCTGGTTCCGTCAACTTAGCGATCATGGGACCTATGCTTCTATTCACCCTTTCTACTTGACCGTTAGCCTGTGGGGATCCGGTAGCTATCTTAATGTGCTTTACTTCGCATTCCTCCAAGAAGTCCTGAAATTCTTTAGAGGTAAAACACGTACCGCGGTCTGAAATGATACATTTCGGCCTACTGTAAGCCCTAAAGTAGTCTTTCAACGCTACTATTGCTTCCCTAGATTTCGTTGTTTTTGCCGGATAGAGTCTTACGAACTTTGTGAACGCGTCTATTATCACTAATACGTGTTTGTTCGATCTACTTTTATCAACAGGACCATAATGATCTATATGTACGACATCAAATGGAATGTTAACTTTAGGAATATTATGAAGGAATCCCTCTTCCTTCCCAGACTTCTCAGAGTATGCAATGCATTTTAGACAGTTGCTAATGTGTAACTTGCATTTATCTCTAACTTTAGGAAACCAGTAGCTTTTTGAAATAACTTCTACCATTTTGTCTATGCCAACGTGTCCTAACTGATCATGATAATTAAACAAAACATGGCTTTCCATTTCGCTTGGTACGTAAAACAAAAGTGCTCCTTTATCTTTCTTTCGATAAACTATTCCGTTCCGCATTTCGTAATCTTTGAGTTCTGTCCGTTGAAGCTGCTCAGCTATAGGTTTGATTTTTTCGTCTCTGCTTTGGCAAATAATTAAATTTTCCTCAAATGAGTTAGAATCTATTGTCAGTATGTGTGTGTTTCTACTAAGTGCATCCACGTGCTGCATGCGCTTACCGGCTCTATGTTCTAGAACATAATCGTAATCTTGCAGAAAAAGCGCCCATCTGGCTATCCTTGGACTTAGTTCTTTCTTGTTTAATGCTAGGGTAAAAGCGCTACAATCTGTGACTATTTTGAACTCTATTCCTTGAAGGTAGATCCTAAAACGTTGCAAGGAGTAAATCACCGCAAGGGTTTCTAATTCGAAACTATGATATTTCGCTTCAATATCGGTCGTTCGTTTGGAAAAGTAAATTACTGGATGAAACTTATTATCTTTCTTTTTCTGCATAAGAATTGAACCAAACCCTAAAGCACTAGCGTCACAGTGTAATTCCGTTGGATCTGTCGGACTGTACAATGCCAAAATTGGGGCTTCTAGAAGATTTGTTTTTAATGTTTCAAAACATTCTAACTCTGTCGCACCGAAATCAAATTTTCTATCTTTTCGTATAAGATCGTATAACGGTTTTGCTTTCGTCGAAAAATCTTTAACGAATCTTCTAAAATAAGAACACAATCCAAGAAAGCTCTGAACTTCATGCGTTTTGGTTGGCACAGGAAAATCTTTAACTGCTTGCATACCCTTTGAATCTGGTTTAATGCCACCTCCTGATATAATATATCCTAAATACTTTACTTCACTTTGAAGGAATTCACATTTGTCTATTCTTAGCTCTAGCTTGTTATCTACTAATCGCTTAAACACCTCTGTTAATATTTCTAAATGACTCTTACTATCTTTTGTTGCTATCAAAATATCGTCCATGTAAATGAGAACTTTGTCCTCTCTAACCAAATCAGCAAAAATTCTATTTACAAATCTTTGAAAGACTGCGGGGGCGTTTCTTAGCCCAAACGGCATTCTAAGCCATTCGTATTGTCCCATTGGCGTAGTGAACGCGGTGTATTTGACCGAATCCTCATGCATGTGCACATGAAAGAATCCGTTTCTAAGATCTAGCTTCGTAAAAAGGACTTTTTCAGAAAGTTTATCAATTAGATCGTCTATGAGGGGGGTGGGGTAGTTGTCTTTTAGCATATTTTTGTTAAGTGTGCGATAATCAACGCACATTCTTAACTCTCCTGACTTTTTCTTAACTAGAACAATTGGTGACGCATATTCAGACTCGCTTGCACGTATAATACCATCTTTTATATAATCGTCTAATAACTCTTGAACTTGGCTTTTCTCCGCAAACGATAGACGTCTCGGAGGGTAGTTGAACGGTTTAGTTTTTTCAAAATTAAGTTTCATTTCCCATTTTATTGATGGGAGTACTGGACGTTTCGCTTTTACATAAAATTGTTCAAAAATAGTTATCATTCTGCTTCTTAAATTCACACCGCAATTCTCATTTATGTTCAGCTGGCTGCATTCAGTTGCCTCGGGATATTCTATTAATAACATTTCTGATTCAAAACTGTTATCATATTGACTATTCATTTTGCTTCCCTTTTCACGACTTTGTTCATCATACTGTGACTTTACTGTATTTTGTATCGACTTGACATTGTTCGTATCCTTAAATTTGTTATCATTACATTTTGACCTATCGTCTTCGCCACTTTTTTTATTTGAACAATCATTTTCTAAATTTCTGTAATTTGGACAATAATTTTTCGCATATCTATCATTTGAACAATCATTTTCAGCATAACTATCATTTGAACTATCATTTTTAGCATAACTATCATTTGAACTATCATTTTTAGCATAACTATCATTTGAACTATCATTTTTAGCATAACTATCATTTGAACTATCATTTTCTCTCACAATCTTAAAGTTACAAATGCTCATGAAATCTCGTCCCAAAACTGTTCCATATGCCATCGATTTGTTCGCCACAATTAGTAACTCAAAATTAAGCATTTCTTTATTGATAATAACAAAACATGATATTTTTCCGATTATATCTAAGGGGCTACCGTTTAAGCCAACGTAATTTGTGAGAATCTTTTCATTTGACTTGATATTTTGCTTTTCTAGTATGTTTTCCACGTATGACATCTTGATGAAACTAATTGGACTCCCAGAATCGATTAGGCATTCTAAAAACAAAAATTGATCAGGTTCTGAACCAAAATAAATCTTAAACGGTCTTACATATTCATTGCTGGGCACGAACTTCTTCTCAGTGCAGTGGTGCACCTGGTGATCCATACTGCCACATGCGTAGCAGGCTCCGTGCTCACGCTTGGGTTTGCGGCAGTCAGCAGCGAAGTGTCCAATGGAGTTGCAGTTGAAGCACCTTTTTGGAGGGGCCGAAGTAGGTCCATCCCCGGCCGAAACTTTAGCTCGTCCTGACGAAAACAGTGGTGGCTTACGTAAAGCAACCTTCGCAAACGCCTGCAACAGCTGTGCAGACGAGTTAAAGCAATGCATGTGTGCTTGCTGTCGCAGAAGAGTGTCGGGAATCCCCTCTATGATGCTGTCGATTAGCTCTTCGTCGTCCATTTGGATGTGTGTGGCTAGAAGGGTTTTTTCCTTGAAGTATGTGGAAAAATCTTCAGACGGATTCCACTTGCGCCCTTGAAATTTGCGTCGAGACATTATCTTGCTCTCCTTGCTATTGAAAGCCTCATCAATCTGTCGTAGTAGTTCATGAATCGGCAAGGTCAGCAAACTTTCAGACGAGTGCAACCAAACTTGAGCGCGGTCCTTTAGTTTCGACATTACTAACATGCGGATCACGTCATCGCTCAGCTTGTACATTTTCGTGATAGCATTAAGTTGTGCGATCCAGGTGCTGACAGGCAGTTTGTTGTTAGCGGCGCCGTCGTATGTTGGGAGCATTTCTCTGGCCATGGCCAGCAAAGAATTGTTGTTTACTGGTGTCCCCTCCGATCTGGCGTCTCCGCCAGCGACGTTTCGATCTGGTGTGGATACATTGTTCTGATTCGGTGTGGCAGCACCGTTCTGATTCGGTGTGGCAGCACCGTTCTGATTCGGTGTGGCAGCACAGTTCTGGTTCGGTGTGGCAGCACTGTTCTGGTTCGGTGTGGCAGCACTGTTATGACGCTGAGCAAATTCCATTCTCAGAATCTCGTTTTCCAATTGGACTAACTCGAGTTGACGCTTTAGGGCATCCAATTGCGTCGAAACCTCGTTTGCCGGCTCCCGACTGCCCCGGCTGTTGAACTTCGAAGGCCCGGCGTCATCGCGAACATGCACGCTTCCCTCAGCCACTGGGGAAGCCGCTCCAGCCTCGTGTTCGATCATGTCGCTCACGGTTATAACGCCGTTGCCTGGCGCCGCCGCTCCAGCCTCGTGTTCGATCATGTTGCTCACGGTTTCAACGCCGCTGTCTGGCGCCGCCGATCCGGCGTCCTCGTGCTCCAAACCGCTACTACCAGCGTCGTTTTCCTCCATCGCCGGGCAAACTCCTCGCGCTTCGGGGGGCACTCCATTGAGCCTCGCCGCAAGCGTTGCCTTGTTTCCACTTTTCGGCATGTTGAGCCTTCCCAGCCAATTGCGTAGTTCCGCCACCGTGTAGTCGTCTGCACCGATGGTTTCCATTTTCCGTTGTTGTTTGTAACACCACTGTTTATTTTTAATGTTTTATTCACTTTGTAGGTTGAGCGTCTGAGAAAAATTTATTCTCAGTTATCCCACTTCTGAATTGTAGGAAGGCACGTTCTTGTCTTTTCGGTGGTCACAAAACGAAGTGTTCTTTATTCATTCTTCCATTCTATGCTTAGCCTATTACATGTATGTATTGGTGTGTCAGTTGACGATCGTGCGAAAGGGACATACAGAGTAATGTTCCTAAGCACGATCTTCATGTGAGAGCGAGATGTATCTATTGTGCTTATAACTATCGTATAATCCAGCCGTGTATGTACAATAGGTGTGTAAGTGTATAGGGTAGTGTGACTGTTTGCTACATCGGTTAGTGTGGCTGCTTGCTACAATCGGTTAGTGTGGCTGCTTGCTACAAAGGGATATAATTGGGTTTTTGTGACTATATTATGTGATATTTATAACATGTTATGCTTTAACTTATGGCACCTTAATCTATATTTATAAGGAACTTGTTAAGTTGAGCATGTTGAGCAATCCTTCTCAAGTTTTAAGAATTATTTTAAAATTAATGAGTCTTTTTATGTACATTTATAAAGTTAATTAGGGTATTTAAAATAGTTTTTTTTATCATAATTTTCCCTTTGTGTAAGTTACTCCTCCTCTCCTATTTGTGGGTTCACTTTTCCCCCTTTTGGCTTGGACTCCGACTTGCTCTCATGATTAGTGATAAGAGTGTTTTCTTTTTTTTGTGCTCTCACTCTTCCTGGTCCTGGTTTTTCCTCTTTATTTTTTGTCCTTGGTTTTGTGTCCTCTGTTTTTGTGTTTCCTTTGCTGCCTCTGGACCGAACATCGTTTGTCAAGCGATTTATTTCAATTATTGATGTTGATGTTGCCTTTTCTAGCTCTTCCTGGTTATGTGCCGAGCTAGATAAGGGCAGAGCCCAGTGATGTGTCCAAAGAAGTAGCCAGTTTGTGGGTAATTTTTCGCAATTTCCACAGCTAGGCTCTTCTGATTTAAGCGAATTTCTCACCGCAGCCCGAGAGTAGGCAACGCCAGTCCGAAAAATGGTCAAGCACCCACACAAAAGTGCAGCTGAGTAAACAAATAAGAGCCAACAGACAAATGAACGCTATGGATGGCCAGCATATTTCCGCTTTATAATTATAATAATAACAATAGCAGCGGATTTGCCCCGGCACATAATTAGTGAAATGTAAAAATTAATCAATTTCGTTATAACCCAATTATTGAAATTGCTAGCAACGCAATTAAGCCGCGTTTGCCCAAAAACGGTCAAACGACCGCATTCAATGACCACTTGGCTCATGTTCGCGGCAGGACCGCCAAATATAATAATAACAAAGGCAAACGCAAAACGGCAGCAGCAGATATGGGATCCGATTTGTGCTGCTGCATCTACTATATATTATGCATATATGTATATATTCTCCGGGTCCTCTGATATGAAGCGGGACTGCTGGTGCTGCTGGTCCAGACAAATTTGCATTTTGTGCGCGGCAGTAAATAATCCAGAATGGATAAAGTTTTTCATTTGCATTATGATCAATATGAGGCCGAATAACCGACTTTTGTGGCCCTGAAATCGTGTTAAAGATTTAATGGCCGACTATATATGTTCGGTTATGTGGAGAGAGCGTGAAATGGCCAGAGATTTCTCTCGCCTTAAGGCCAACTTTCGAGAATGTGTCAGATTGTATGCCTCATTAGCCAATAAATATGTAAAATTGTGCTAAAAGAATTAAATGCCAAAAAGAATAAATAGCCCCCAATGATGTCTCTGTCGACGACGTTGTCAGTGTAAAATATACATAAACAGATGTTTTAAGGCAACAAAGCAGGAAAAAATATAATAATTATGAGCCAAAACATAACAGTGTACGTCATTTAGTAAAAATAAACAATAAATCAGCTTGTGTACAGTTGAAAATAAATAGATTTTTAAAATGAGTCCTAATGAAATCCATTTAATTTGAAACAAAGTGCAATGTGCAATTAAATTCATTGACCCCAGCATGAAATGGCAGAAAGCATCACATTCAAATTAAATATGCAAATTTGCGATCCATATATGCCTATAACAATGTGTCTATATAACTAAGTTAATTTTTAATTTATGTATTTAAAAATATGTGTACTCCCGCTGCACCGGAGTGGTTTATTTATATGTCTGGCTGGATATTGATGCGGACACACCTATGTACAAACATATTTATACATATCCGAATAGATATTTGTGGCCACATAGGAGCTTATGTACGTGCCGCGTAGAATGCAAATACGTATTCAAAATATTCTGGAAGAAATGCAGCCGGCGGTGAACATTTCAGAGTTGACTAAAATGTAAACACGAAAAAGTCGGAAAAACGAAAAATCATTTTCTAAATATACACAACGATACTCAGGAGAGTGAAAAGCCGGAAAAAATAAGAGAGCAAAGTGGAAAAGTGGAGAAGGAAAAGCAGAGAGCCAAAAGCATTGCATTGGTCATCCGTTTGATTTCAAATGTTTTTCAAATAGGCCGAAGAAAATGGGAAAATTAATGCCAAAAAAAATAAATGAACTTTGAAATACGCTATTAAATGGGTATAATATTTACCTTCTATATAAAATTTGTTAATATTACAGTATAAAAAGACATTATTTTCATCAGATTTCTTAATTGTTAAGGTGGGTTTTATACCCTTGTCTCATTTATGATTGCTTGATTTTGTTTTAAAATATGTTACGCATCTTGTAGTATTATTACTTTTTTTTAGAAAGAATTATTAATAAGTTTTAAACTCTACAAATTAAAATGAGCAATGAATCACAGTATATTTTTAATGAATTTGTTTAAATTTGTAAAAATCAGAAAAATAATAATGCCCTATAGATCCTCAATTGAGTTTTCCCAGCGTATCAGTAAAGAGTATGGCATGATATGTATAAATAAATTATGTGTAGGTTTCCCCGTTCGAACGACAACAGCTGCACAGCTTTTGGAAAATTGGGAAAGCCACTCGCGAGTTTTCCGCTGGCGGAGATCAGTGCGCGAGAGTGCGTCGTCGAGCTAAGACACGGAACGCAGAACCCAGAAACCCAAAGAATCCGGCGAAAAAAGAGCCAACGGGAAGACTGTAGCCAAGTGAAAGTGTGAGGAGATATTTATAGAAGGCCACGCTGCGCACATACCACGTCCATATTCACATCCACAGCGAGCAGCCGTTAGGTATATAAGGCTGTATATAGGCGATCCGCGAGATACACACCCGGAAAGTTGGAAACCAGGATGACGGACGTGCCGGAGCCCGTGCGCAAGTGCGCCAACCTGTTGAAGGGCACGCGCAGCGACACAGAGAAGTTCGCAACCCTGTTCATGGTCACCAAGCTGGTGAAGGGCAAGGACTGCAATGCGGAGGGCAAGAAGCTGCTCTTCGAGGCCATTGGATTCCCCTTCCTCAAGAAACTGCTGGTGTCCAAGGACCTGCCCAGCGATTGTCCCCCGCTGGTGTACAAGAGCGTGGCCCTGTCCATCCTCACCTGCTTCTGCCAGGAGGAGGAGCTGGCCACGCACAAGGACATAATCGATGCCATACCCACGCTGCTGGAGATCGTGGAGCAGGCCGATGACGAGGACTACGAGGACAACCTGATTGTGGTCAGCGAGGCCTACAGCTGCTTGAAGAGCATCGCCAGCCATGAGCCGGGCCAGCAGGCTCTCCTGGCCACCGGTGCCATTCCCAAGATGTCCCAGATCTACTCCGCCCAGAGCTTCCAGACCGATGAGGCCCTTCATCTGATCGTGCTGCTGGTGAACCAGTTCGGAAAGATCTCCTGGCCCGAGGACCCCACCGCCTTCCACGCCCTGATCCAGAGGATCGCACTGGACATGGAAACCGACCACACGGACAGGAAGTACGAGCTGTGCCGGATTCTGGCCGACATCCTGATCACCTGTCGTAAGGAGATTGTGATTAATTCTTTGGAGGGTCAAATCTGGCCAGAGAGCTTGTTCAAGGGCTGCGGCGACATCCTGAAGGCCAAGATTGGGCCCAAGCAGAGGGATCCAGCCCTGCACCTGATAGCCACCACCCTGCAGGTTCTGGGCATCCAGTGGGCCTTCATGGACGAGCAGAAGCAGTTCTTCCTGCAGCTCCTCCAGCTGGCGGCCATCGAGGTGCGCATGCAGATGGATGAAAAGAAGCTGGAGACCACCTTCAAGCAGGCGGATCTGCTTTCCTGCTGTTTTGTAATCCTGGAGCAGTGTATCGAGTACATGGCCACCGACCAGCTGGACCTGGAACCCAAGGAGAAGCAGACCACCTACACGGCTCTCAAGGGTGCCTTTAATCAGGTCGTAGCTGTTCTGACCCGAGTTAGCCAGGACAAGATCCGGGACAGTGCCAATCCCCGGGACAAGAAGTTTGTGGTGGCCATCGTTAAGGTTTTGTCCGCTTGGCTTGCCCAGGAAACCACGGCCATGAGACCGGCCATCTACAAGCTTCTGCCCTTTATGCTCAAAGTGGCCAACGAGAGCTTCCACGATCTGAAGACCTGGAGGGCGGGCCCCAGGGAGGGCGAACCCCCTATCGATGTCCTGAGGATCATGTTGCCGGCCCTCTGCCACTTTGCCGTGGAGGAGGAGGCCAGGAGGGTGCTTTTCACTCACAAACAGGATGAGGTGCTCTTGGAAGCCCTGGAGTTTTACTTCAGCATTGCCCACTGGAAGAGGCCGCCCATTCCGCGAGCTGAGCGCTTGAAGCGTATGAACGAGCCGGATCCGGTTCCCACGCCCGAGCAGCAGGCGGAGATGAAGGTGGCCAGGACTGCCATCGTGGCGCTGTGCAACATCCTGATGAACTTCACGGTTCTGGAGCCCAAAAAGGCCGAGGACGGAGCCACCTTTGCCAGCCTGCTTAAGTTCGTGGTCGAGAACCTGCCCGAGTTGAAGGATACCCCCGACAACCTGGTGATCCACGGCAACCTAGCGGTCCTGGGACTGCTCCTCCTGAAGCAGCAGTCCAAGAAGGTGAAGCAAAACGACTTCTCCATCTGTCGCTACATCCAGGCCACCATCCGCTTCCTGTGGGACGCTTACAACATCGACGAAAGCAACGACCCCACCGCCCTGGTGGTGTCCATTGCCTACAAGGGCTTTTGGTCGGACCTCTCGGAACTGTGGTTCCTGGGCATGCAGACCATGTGCGGAGTACTACCTCTAGTGCCCTGGCTATCAGAGTTCGCCCTGGAATCCGGCTGGGCCGAGGGCATTGTGAAAACCCTGAAGAAGGTGAAGATCGGCACGCTGCCGGCCAATGTGAAATCCGCCTACGAGGACTTCCTCTCCCAGCTGGTGGACGTCAATGGCGATGTCCAGGCCGTGCTCAAGAAGGCGGATGCCCTGCGCGTGTGCCGCAACCACAGGATGATGGATCTAGGCAAGAAGCTCTTTGGCGACTAAGTCTCAACACTCTCCTACCTTGCGGAGGCATTTTTTGTGTGTGATTTGTGAACAAGCGAAAAATGGAAATATTTTGTATGGATTTTATTCTATTTTATATGCTCTATTTTAATGATTAAACAACTAAATTTATATAAAACAAAAAAATAAATACAGCCATTTTTAAAAACACATCCGGACATAAATTTCGTTTTCAGTTTTTACTTCCCTCGTCAAAACGTTGTTTCGGCATTCATTCAGTTTCAGTTTCGTTTGTTCAGCGCCCCACTCGATGGGATTAGTTAAAACTTTTGCTTGTTTTCATTCCCGTTGTATGTTTTATTTTCGAACAATGGCGCTATATGTATGTACGGTCGAATATAGACCAGGGAAACACGTCACATTTGCTTATTTGCCAGACCAACAAATTTGTTTGTCAGCGCAGAGCGAAGTGCGACGATGACGAGTGCAAGGGGTGACCGAAAATAATACTAATAATAAGTGAAATTTAATTAAAAACTTTTAGCTTACGCTTTTACCCAAAACACGGACAGGAAGCAGCGAATTAATAATACTGTGTTGACTCGGAATGACAACTTTTGTGACTGTACAACAATTTTCCGGTGACATTTGTGATTTTATCCTGACAAAACTAATTTCATTTATAAAATTTAACAATGCTGGATAACATTTCTTTTTGTTGCAGAAAATATCAAAAGTACTAACAAGGTTTTTGAAAGTCCTTTTATAACTTTATAACTTTTTTAATCAGACATTTTTACTAATATATTTATATTATATAAAATTACTTGGTCAATATGTTAGGCATTTTTGAAGCAAACTTTATAGCTTTAAAAGTTAAAGTTTATTACCATTAATTAGCATAAATCACAGAATTTTCTTTAAATTAAAACATTGTTAAATGAAGTGTATTTTGTACTTAATTTGCTTATTTATACATCTCCCATGCACATTCTTTATTATTTTTTTTGTTGCATTCATTATTTGCATTTTTTCCGGCCATAATATTTGTTGGAAATATTTGCTCCGCTTTATTTGTTTAAAGACACTTTAAAACTACAACATAAAGCATCGTTGTTTTGTTTCTTTTTTTAATGCAAATTACCGACAGGAAATGTTTTCCCTGCTGAGCTTATGAAAATTATTGTCATTAAAGGGCTTGTCGGTTGGCCCTCGGATTTACCTCCACTAAATCGGCCACATATCCGTATCTGAGCGGATTTGCCCCGCTGAGATGCTAAATTGCTTGTTAGCGATGAATGAAAATAGAGAGGGAGCCGGAGCTGGTGCTGTAGCAGCTGGTAGCCGAAGCAAAAGCCGGGCATAAATCTCCAATAAATCTTAAATACATATTGCGATGCCTGGCCGGGGCTCGCTTCTGGCCCAAGAAATACATATTATGCGAAAAGTATCGCTCAATCGTGCTATCTGCCACTATGGGTGGGTTGGACCTCTCCATCTCCGCAGCCTCAACACCTGCCAGCCATTTCTCTTCCATATCTAAGGGAGTGGGCATTGGGGTTTTATTACGATATAATATTTTATTGTGTACCTTTAGATGTTGGGATATTTGGCTCGCTACATTTGAGTTTCAACCCTTTTTGGCCATACTTTTCAGGCGAGGTATTTGCGAGAAACTGGGGTATATTGTATCTCTGAAAGTGTACAAGATTTACAAAAAAACACTTTAGTTTTTTTATATTTTACTGTCGGCTCCTAAAGTAGACTCTTTTAAAGCTTAAGTTCTCTGTAGCCTGAAGAGAATTCCATGGAATTCTATGGTCGTGACACTCGCCTAGAGCACTCTTACTTTTTCTGGTCTACAGAATGTGTAAATTTGCCTGAGCCGTTTGTTGTGTTTTGTCACCGGAATTGCTTAGCTGGGCCAATTCCAGGGGGTGACAACGAACGGCGAAGGGGTGACCCGGCAGTGGCTTTGGATTTTGGGCTATTTGTGCATTTGACAAAGGTAATAAAAAGGGCCTTTGGCTTTTGAAGCGTTGTCGTCGCCTGCTTGTTGATTTTGTTGCTCTGTTTGCTCGTCTCAAAGCTATAAAATATATACAAATATATACGAAAAAAAAATGTATTTTTATTTTATTTTCTTGCTGTTTGTTTGCCTCATTTTTTGGGCGAGCAAACATGCTCTGGCATTTGCCGTTTCCGTTCTGGGTTCTGTGGGCTTAAATGTGTTTGCTTCTAATTAAAATTAAAAGGTTTTTGCGGCTGACAACTGCCGTGAAATAAATTACTAATGTCAGCCGCATATCTATGTCCTAAGGCCAAGGTGTAAGATGTAATTACGCTGGAATGCAATTGGTCCTGCACTCAATGATCCATTCATTAAGCCGGTCAACTCGTCAATCAGCCAAGGCGAAATGGAAGAAAGGTGCAAAAGCGGCATCAAAACCGGGGCAAAAAATTAGAGCTCATGTGGCACTGGATTCAAGTGGCTGTTGCAGCAACAAGTTGAAGTCACCTTGATTGCAATTAGTAGCATTCTCCGACATTGTTGCCACCTTAATGAAATGAAAACAAAGTTGGAAAAAGCCAAGGAAAACGACGGAGCGAAGAGAATTTCAAGTCCGCTCTTCACGGCAACGTTTCGAGGAGGACTCGCTGTCAAGGATTGCCTCCCCCACTAAGCCAACTGCTTAAGTTCTGAGCTTTGCTTTACTTTGCGGCAATAGTGTAAATTTGTGTACCTCCGGCGGTAAATGATCGTTTAAGGGATTAAGCAAATCATTTTTAAAGTTTAGTTAAAAATATATTAAGGTTTATACTAAAGATATTGTTTATACATTTTTATAAATTAAGTGATTTAAAAGGAATATAAAAATAATCATCTGAGGTGCTAAGGCAACAAGGATTTGCGTGCCATTTAATTTTTCTGCTTAACATCCAATAACAATATCCGCTTCTATATGCGATTTTGATTGCTATATTCAATTGCCACTTGTTGGCTTTTGGCCCCTGCAAAAAAAAAAGCAATTGGTTAGAGTGAAAGTTAAAGAGAAAGTGTAAAAGGGTGCGGATGATGCACGCACAAATGCGCACCCCAAGCAATGTTAGACTCAGACTGAGGCTCCACCCCAAGCAATAATAAGGCGAAAAATAAAGTGAATGCTGCTCACAAATTTCCAATTGAACGTAATGGTCGATGCGGGGAATGCTCTTAACACTTCTGTCTTACCAGCGGGGAATTCGTCCCTGTTCCCGTTTAATGTCCTGACGAATTTCGAGTCCCACAGCAAATTAAAATTAATGCAGAGCTTGTGGACAACCAGGAGCCGAAGCACAAAGGATGGGTAACAGTACCAGATGTTGCAATCGAAACTGGGCAAGTCATAAATTATTCAGGACACTTGTCAGCTCCAACTGGCAAGTATCAAGCCAGCCAGGACACCCGCTGCAACATATGCCACTGAAGGGGGGCTCCAAACTTAATCCCAAATAGATATCGGATTGGTTAAATTTTAATTCGGGCAAATTTAAGCCTTGACCTTGCCAACGACATGAACGGCGGCGGAAAGTGAGAGTCCCCCAAAGGCATGTCGCAAATTTTATAATCCCCATAAATTTTGTGCGTCTCATTGAACTCGGATTATCGCAGCGAAGGCAGCAGCTTCTCTTCATATTTCCTTTATTTTTGGGTTTTTTCCCCCTGCTGTGGGTGCTCTTTGGGCGGGTTTCTTTTATTTTATTTCGGGTGTTGGTAATTAAATTTGTCATCACGCTCAGCTGGCAATTGGTCGTGGGTCAACGGTCATAAAAACTGACGCCCAGAAGTAGGCAACGCGATTCGGAATTTCACCAACGACCACGATGTCCTCTCTTCCTACGCTCTCTTAGCCTTCTCTTTGGGGGGTTTCCACGCTGGGAAAAGCTTTTGTCCCAAAGCTCGATTTTCATATTATTCTTGTAGCTTTCCGCTTGTTTCTGTTTCTGTTATTTTATTTCCCTTGCCGCTGTTAATGATGCGTTAAATTTAAATGGCCATAACAATTAACGGTAATTGCTTTTGAAGTTATTGTCTATAATGTTATTTAGAGTTCTGCGGAAGAATTTGAAATATTTGCATAGTTATGAATGCCATTATGCTAACTGTAATGACAGCCCTTCGCCATTACCCTTGTTACCTCTCTCAATATCTTAATCGAAATTTTGTGGCAAGCCCTTGCTTTATGGCAAGGAGTTCAGCCAGCGAAGTGCACTTGTTGCCATTTAATAAATAATATTTATTACAGTTTCAGAAGCGAGTTTTTGGGTGCACTAGAAAAACGCAGGAGCTCGAAGTTCTAATTTACAGAGAGTTAATTTATTGAATGAAATAAATATAACATTGCTTTAGAATTATATACATATATTATTTAAGAGTTACATAGTTGTTCACATTACTTATCCTATTTTTACTAGCAATTACAAGTATCTAAAGTATGTAAATTATTTCCAAGTGTCGATTAGGGGGCCAACAGGTTTTGCGCTCTATAAATCCCTGAACAAAACTCGTTGTCGAACAAAAAAGGATTAAATTACCATGCAATTGAAGTTGAAAACAAAACCAAAATGCTTACAGTTTTTCGGGGGTTCTGTAGTCCTTTGGCTACATTTATGAAACATTTTCCTCCGTGCTTTGCCTTGCCGAATTCAATTCAATTTAATTGGCCCGCCCACGCGGCGTATACGTAACACAATAAATTATCAAAGTACAACACCGGCACAAAAAATTCAGCACGTAGGAAAGACGGGGGGGTGGTTATCCACCCTCCAGAAGAGGCAGCGTCAAAGGTTAGTTTATGCCTCCGCCCCATTCAAAACACAATAAATACTGCAAGTGGGCGTCGGCTCTGTTTGTTTGCTAGCCCTGGGTCTGTGCTCTTCGATATCAACAAGAAATTCAAATAAATGCATTTTAATGCCGGCAGCCTCAGCCGAGTGTGGCTGCTTTAAAAGCTTTCAAATAGAATAATTTATTTCCCTCTCTCTCGAGAGAGAGGCGATGGTGATATGTGGGAGGTGGTTGCTGGTAGCTGGTGGGCGAATTGAGTGGGGCCTGGGGGATGTGGTACCATCGATATCCCCGTGCATTGATGTGTTAATTGCCACAATTCCAAGGAGGCCAAGGAAACGGGCAATTAGATAGACCAGAGTTGCCAGCTGCTCGGCGGGAA